GGGGGGGGGGGGGGGGGGGGGGGGGGGGGGGGAGAAAAGAAAACGAAAATCGGACTCGCAGCGTGAAATCGCGCGACGAATCGTTTCCAACGACGAGGAAACACGGCTTGCGAAAAGGAAAACGAACCGAGAAGAAGGTGGTAGGCACCTAAGGAAAGCGGCGAGAAAATCAAGGGATTCGAACGTGGCTGGCGAGAAGGGTGACCTCGGGTCGTCGTACCTGCCCGGACAGAGCGTGACTCGTCGATCAGGAGAAACGTTTGCGAGAGAACAGGGTGTCCAGAAGGGGTTTGTCACACACGCGAACTCGATGGAAGAAGGAGCTCCGCGACAGCCGTCGATGCCGGCCGGTGTCTCCAATCGAACTGCGGGGGTTGGTCGACGGTGGCGCCGCCGAGGGACGCCGAGGGACGCCGTGCGGCATGCGTCATAACGCCACCGCCTTCGATCGGCCGCCATTTTTTTTTTGAAGCGCGTTACTAACCCCCTGAAAACATTCCACCCCGGACGCTACTTCCCGATCGGGACAGCTCAGGACCGTGTTCCTGTGGCCCCCGAAAAAATCGGCTCAGTCGATCCTCGAATGGCCACTCTTTTTTTTCGTCATTCTCTGTTTGGCCAACGTGCTCCCGAATTTGGCAACACAGCGCCTCCAGAAAGTCTCCACACATCGAATTTCGGATTTTCACCCTTACGTGGCCGATGGAATTATTTGCTCAGATTTGACAATTCATTTTTACGACAAATCTATGCTATCTTCCTGGTTTTACATTCGCTAAACGCAAATATGTTAGAATAGTAATCGATGTCGACGAATGTAACTTTTCAATTGCAATTTGATTGAAGAGAATTCTTTGATTTTATGAGAATTTTACGGCTGATGACCACGGCTGATGAGTCGAAGTCGTGGCAGTTACAATTTCGTAAGAAATAGTCGTACGGCAATGATCTTGGTCTCGTTTTAAAGCTTGAAACATCTATTTTTGCTACGTATCGTCTATTTTCTTTTAACCTTGTTTTGCGTAACGCAGCAGATGTGAGATCGAAGACATGCTGTTTCTTGACGATAACGCGGATTGAAACGTTTATATACACGTTGGATAATTTTCTTCGCGATTGATCTTTACGTGGATTTGATGATTGAAGTCTCCCCTTTTCTAGAATAACCTCTTTACACAGATTAAAACTGCTCTCCCTTTTGCAACAATACCTGAAACTTTGGTATGCGTATAAGTTACACAGATTTACGAAACGCATTTACTAAATTTTCGTCAGAGGCTCAGATAAAAAAGTTGAAAAGAATGAAAGTTTTTTCGTCATTCTATGCAGTAGCAAAATTTTTAAAAAGCATTCTAGTTATGGTCTTGTAGACCAGTCCCTCTGTCATCTAACAAAACATTCAAGTCATTTAGTCTAGTTCTAAATCAAGTTATTACAACGCTAAGGAAGCCCCACTAAAATTCTGAAAACTCCAGAAACCCGAAACGCGAATGTTTCCCGTTCAATTAATTGAAAACCGGCGAATACGCCGAAGAGCCGCGCACGTGAAAAAATTGAACAACAAACGATACCGAAACCTCATAAAACCGAAGTCTAATAAACCTTGTGTTTCACGTCTTACATTATAAACGAACGAATTTCCAATTCCTCATTTAAATCAGCCTCGGATACACGTGAACGATCGAAATTGCCATTACCAATGATCACGGTTCCATCGAGCGAACATTCGATTACGAAGAAAACCATGGGCTCCCGTCAAAACCGAGGTTATTTATTATACAAAATCGTTGTCAATTGTGAAACGAGTCCGCGTCGAACAACCGGGCAGTCCGCGTGTTTAATTATAGAGGCCCCTTATTCGCCCGTTCGGCAGTATGCATAACAATAAACTATAACAGGGTGGCAAATTGAAATTCGCAGTTGCCAACACAGGCCGGACAATGGCCGGCGCACAAAAGCCGTGAAATCCACGAAACCGATGTACACATTTTCGGCGTGAAAGCCGAAAGCTCTTCGATCATCGCTCGAATCTTCTCGCGATGATAAACATCGGGACTTCTCGTCGCGGGGATCGGAGGACGGGCAACGGTGGCTACGGGCCGCGACTTTCACTTGTCGTTTAAGTAAATTCAGATTCCGCTTAACCCGATTAACAACGGCCCCTTGCAGTTAATCGAGTTCCAGCGGCGCGGCCCGAACGATAAACGGATAATCTTCCGCCGGAGAGGGCTCTCAAAGCGACGAAAATCTTGAGGAGGGCGGGAACCCGATGAAATTGTCTTAACGACCCGGCGACCTCCGGGAAAAATCGTGGATGAATGAGGGGAGGGGGGAATCGGGAATCCGGGGCGGAAAAATCACGCGAGCCGGCACTGAAGTGTGCAACAGAGTGCCGTGACCCGGCCGAGTGTCGTCCGATTATCACGTTACATGACGCAACGCGAGTGCGAGATTGTTACCAATATAATAGATTTATTTTATTAACAATATCAATAACATACACGGACAACGCTATTATGTCGGTTAATGAAACGCGATCCTGTGGACGACGACAGATCGAACCGTCGCGATCGTGCACAGGACGACGCACCGATATCGCTGCGGCAAATAAATCTAGGCAGTTGTAAAAATCAAAAATACGTTACAAAATCTAATACTGTTACCATAAATATGTATCTTATATCTGTATGGGACGCGCACGTGGTTGCTCGCAAGCGTTCCGGACTGCTCAACGAGATTTCGAAGATTTTGGCATCACCTTTAGTTCCCGAAAAAATCTTCGTAATGACACGTTTAGAATGAACATGATGGACGTGATTTACAATTAACCGTTCCTCAGTACAAGTTCTCTGAAATCTTCTATGTAGCTTTTCTAAGTATGAAATTTAATGACATTTTTAGTATTCATTGTTTGATACTATTCCAAGATGTTTGGAATTAATTATTCTAATGAGATTTTCTAGTGTCCCTGTCTTCATTTCCAGTCTTAAAATATTGTGATTCTTAAAAGAAGCTTCTCCGAAAGGAAACTCTGAAATCTGTTTTATTATATTCATCTTACGTCAAACGCAACAACTAGACAGCGGATTTTTATGCAAAATAAAAATTGTCTGCGTCAGTTGCACGAGACAGAAACAAAGTAGCATGTTGATCCTTTCTTTAATCACTTCAGTAGATTAAAACTAATACATCGTCGTTTTTATATTCTTCTAATCTTTCTACTATTTTAAATTGCAACTATCCCAATTTTGCCATAAATGCACAAAATTCGCAGTCCAACAATAACTTGCAAAATAATTGCAAATATAATATGTTTTCGACATTTTTCCAAACATTTGGATTACACAGACTGGAACTGTACGCTTGAAAGTATTCTAGCAACATCTTTGCTAACAATGTTTAATTCGCAGGAATACCACCGAAAACAATCGGTATCATGGTGTAACAAAAATGTTTCGTTGCAACAGAAACACAATGGTATCTTCCAACGAAGTAGACAAAATATAAAGCACGCAATGAACAATGTCAGATCTGGTCGTGAAATGAAGAGTGTCAAAATATTTACGAACAACAGCGCGCGTCCAACCGGAGAAGCTTAAATGTTAAAGCACCTTGCGTGACGGACAGCGTTTGCAGAAAAATAAGTCAGATCTGACTTCGAAGGTGTGTGCGAATGGATGACGCATGCGCCCGGAGTCCCGTACAGCGACGTGGCGCATCTACCAAGTGAACATTGTAATTCAGAACCACGAATGCGCAGGCTCTGCTTCGCGCGGCGAGACTCTCGGCGCATGCGTCACCTACTCCCACTCCTTCGACGTCAGATCTGACTTGTTTTCCTGCGAACGCTGGTGACGGATCTCCTCGCGAGATTCTAACCGAGCAAATCGCGAACGATTTCCGCGATCATGCCAATAAACTAATGCCTTTCTCGTAATGTGAATATTCTTGAACAACCAAAACAAAGATCGGAGACATTGTATCGCACGCGGACAGTATGTGTTACCATTACGGACAGTGTTTGTGCAATGTCAGAAATTTCGAGTCAGTCTGACAGTGAAAGTAGAAAAGGCACGATAAAACGTACGTAGGTACTCTTTTGTCCAACACGAATGGACGGAACGGTTTCTGTTGCGTCAGTTTTCGCGTCCTAGATATATATATATACCTCCACTCGCCTTCTATATATTGTCGCTACTTGTACGATCATACATCGTGGTCCCTACCTCAGCTGATTCCGAGTTGCCATTCCAGCATTCGGTGTAGTCAAACGATATTGTCATACAAATCACACTCCGATATAGTTCCATAAACGTCGATTTACGTCGGTTCCGGGCTGATTTACATGTAGACAGTCACTCGTGGATGCGCCGCACGGAGCTGTTCGAAACTTGTCATCTCGAGACGTCCACTTTTGCCAATGTTGAACACGATACTCTGTCACTCCTGTATAGTATGTCATCTATAACTCCCTAGAAGCCGTTCAGTAATTTTTAATGTTGATCCGGGAGTCCTCCATTTAAATGGCTTGTGTCTAAATCCGATAGTTTCAATAAAAATGGATTTATAGTACTTTGGGGACAGTCCAGCCATTTTGAACGGTGTTCCAAGAGTCCTCTGTGGGAGCCAGCACGACGATGACGATTCCATCGAAATTACTTGTGTCCCAAGTTTCAATAAAAATGTATTTACCATCTTAAATTGTCCATTTTCCTTGACATTGAACGCTGTACTTCCATGTCTTTATGCTATGTATCGTTTATAGTACTTTGAAGATAGTTCAGCAATTTTTAATAGTGTTCCAAGAGTCCTATATGGAAGCCAGCACGACGATGACGATTCCATTGATATTATTTGTGTCTCAGCCCAATAGTTTCGGTAAAACTGGATATAACATCTTAAATTGTCCATTTTTCTTAACTTTGGACACTGCACTTCAGCGTCTGGATGCTACGTGTTGTTTTTAGCTCTTTATAGTTCAGTAATTTTTAAGTGTTCCCATGGGAGCCAACACGACGATGGTGATTAGAAATGTTGATAAGGAAATTGCTTATGGCTTAACCGAATGGTTTAAACAAAAATAGAACTTGGCATTTCGAATCGTCCTTTTTTCTCAACATTGATAACTGCACTTTATCAATTTTAATTGTACTCCAAGAGACCTCTATAAAAGCTAACACTTCGACGATGATTCTGCGCAAATTTTGTATCACTCGTATACATATAACATAATTAATATATACAAAATATAATAGTTCGATTAAAAATGATGCATGAAAATCCTGAAACGTTCGGTTTTGCAAACGTTGAAAACAATACTCTGTCGTCCCCATATGGTTCATCGTTTACCGTCCCCTGGAGGCGATTTAATAATTTTCAATAGTTTTTGTGTATATGACCCTGGAGTCTACTATGCCAGCCAAAACAGTGACCACGATTGTGTAGGTATTATTCACGACTAAACTGCGGATCGTTATACAAACTTCGACATTTATGGACATTCTTCTAAAAATCCTGCAACGGCAAAATTTATTTAATTGCCGATGGAATCGCTTATGTCGGAACTAATTTGTGTTGCATAAATTTACAAGTGTCATAAGTGCAAGAGGCTGTGCAGTTCGCTAGTCAACCCACTAGTGCGAACAGAATTAGAGGTTGCCATTCTGAAATGTCCACTTTTGCCATCATTAAACAACAGTTACACAGTGTGTCGTTTTCAGTTCTTCAGATTCAGTTTATTCATTTCGATGGTGACAACTTTATCGAAACTTTTTATTTTGCTTATCGTCTTAAAATGTCCTCTTCTGTTAATTTGGAACACTATAATTTGTCATTCGCGTACAGCATCTAATCTTCTATGCTTCTAAAAACAGCATAATAATAATCTCCAATATGCTTCGTGGAGTTTGAGCCAAGAGTCCTCAATGCAATCGACACTCTGATAGCAATTAAAAGAAAATTATTTACGTCTACACTTCGCAGTTTACTTATTATCTCAGGACGTCCTCTTTCGCTAACTTGGAACACCATAATTCGTCGTCCACGTACAGGATCTACTCTGTATCCATCTAAGAACATTACGATATAATCTCCAATGTTCTTCGCGAAGCTGATCCAAGAATCCTCTACAGCTGTCAACTGAATGATACCAATTGTCCCAATATCATTTACGTCTGAATCCAATATCTCGGATAGAAGTGAATCTCATCGTATCTAAACGTCCAGGTCTGACAACTTCGAACACAATATTCCGTCCTCCCCGTGCAGTGCAACGTTTACAGTCCCCCAGAGGCGGTTCAGTAATTTTTAATGGTGTTCGTGAAGGTGACCCAGGAGTCCTCTATGGGAGCTAGCACGGTGATGACGATGAGGGCCGCGCAGAACAGTACGATCACCACGAAGTACACGCCGAAGATGAATTTCCTGATCCCGGAGTGCTGTCGGACAGAATGTGAAATGAGTAAAAATACAGCCCGGCAAGATCTCCTTCCGGGGATCCTTGCTGGGAGTCTAGAAAACTTACGGGAGCATCCTGTCTGGCATCCGGATGGACCATCGAGCCGCGGGAGTGCATGTCTTTCATCGGAAACGAGTTCACCCTCTGACTGGCTTGCCTGTCAGAGGCGCAGCCGACGAACTATAACACATATCGATTCCCTTCGTTATGGTTGAACGTTCCGCGAATAGCTGAGAAACCGGGAACCGCAACCATGCAGATTTCGGGACAGTTAGAATTTTCAATGGCGCCCCATCGCCTCGATGCATAAATCCATACCACTATTTTTCAGTTCATTTCTACTGTTTGTATGAAGTTTTATCGGGAAATTTTTGGGGCAGTCTTATGTCTTTGATATTGGTTATCAGCAGGAAACAGTTTTATTTTTTATATTGATTGGGACGCTGTGATTATAATTTAACATTATCGAAGATTAAATAATGATTGTACGCAATTTTAAGCAAAATATAAACGTTACGAAACAGGAATCAGGCACAATATATTTCAGTATTTTCCAACAGTTTTATCGTTAAAATGAAGTTTTATCAGGCAAAATTTCGGGTAATTTTATGTGTGCCTTTGATATTGGATCCAAACGGGAAAATAGTTTTATTCTCTACATTGATTCAGCTAAATTAACATTTTTAAAGATTAAATAATGATGTAATTACTTGCGACTAATTTTGTTAGGGGAACTTAAGAGCAGTTTGTTGTTTCTGATATCATACAAAATTTCAAACATGGAGATAACTTTAAAGAAAATGTAGATAATATTCAAACAGTAAGAAGTCAATTCCGAAGATACAGTTGCGCATGTAATATAAGCCTCAGCCTCAAATATTTTAACAGAAAATTAGGAATGTAGGATTGCCTCTCTATTTGTCTGTTACTCAAAATCATACTACTTCACAAATTTAATTGTAATGGTCTACTCGTATTATTCTAAAATTATGTACGAGGGGCAAGTGAAGAATGCACTTTCGCCATTTTAATATTTTAAAATTGCTACCATAAAGTAGCAACACTTTGAAGCTTCTAAGTCTAAATAATCTTTCGTATTAAAATGAAATCTTTCAATCATGCAAACAGCAACTTGAAAAATTCAGACAACGACGAATTCGAAAATAGTTTTATAAACCGCAACAAACTAAAACTATATTTCTGTAGAAAATTAAACAATATAGAAAAATAAATACACTTATCATCAAATATTAATAAGAAAATGAATTTTGTAAAGATTACCTAGTAATACTTGCGGATTTAAATAACACCAACAAAGCTATAACAAATATTAAATAAAACGACGATGAAAGCTGAACGTTGAACGACGTCAGATTACAATAATCACGTTATAATACTTTTCAATTTAATTTTCAATCGGGCTTGTCAACTTCGATTCATCTCGAGCACAAAGGAACTTTATGATTAACAAACAAAATAAGAGCGAAACCGTAGTGTAGATCGCCCCCCTAGAATCAGTAAACAACTGAACCAGAAGCAACGATATCAAACGAATCAAATGAAATCTTTACAATTGTCCGATATAAATTGCAAAGGTCAGAGGTCATTGTTTGAAGGATTTAATTGTATCCAACGGAGAATCACGTGCATCGGTTGTGCTATCACGTTTACGCGCTGGGCGTTCAATACCTCGGTAATTCGTGGATAAACCGCACGATAAATTTATAACGTCGTCCCTTTAGGTATGCTCGAGATCGTGCAGAGCAAGCCGAGCCTAGGCATTTTTATTAAGGCAATGAAATTATCTCTGTTTTCATTTCTTTATTACACTCTGACAATTCCCACGGCCGCGCGTAACTGGTGCATAATAAATTTCTTCAAATCCACGCACGCGGACACCGACACGCAACCCCTGAGATTTTTTCCGTTTACAAGACCCAGGTGCAACGGCCTCTGCAGGTGAAGTAACTGGGACACAGTACTGTGGCACTGTGTGCTAAAAGATGACAATTGAAAGAAACCAATCGGTGGACAATGAATCTTAAAAATTTCATTGCTAAATCGTGTTAGAAACGGATGAAAAATGCTAGCGATTTTTGATGATGTACAAATTCGCACACATGTACAGATATTGTAAGGATATGTACGTAGAAAAGTCCACAGTTTGGTAAATTCATTTTGTACATCTTAACCATTCAGAAAAACCCTATGTTACAGAAAAAAACTAATAACAAATAGAGAGATTTTATACAGCAATCGTATAAGTACGAACAAAATGAAGGAAGTAAAAAAGAAAACAGAAAAAAGAAAGGTATCGAAATAAGTTGAAATATATACATCTCGTTACGAACGCATGCAATTCGCGATCTGTCATTCTTGCGTAATGCACATTTGACTTGCGCTTTGTATGCATTAGTCGCAGAAACGAGAATGCGAAGCTTAAGACACCTTAAATATCGTGGCAGTGAATTTGTAATATTTCTTAACCCTGGACATCGTTAACAGACTGCGGATCCAATGAAAATTTCCGCGAGCTCCACCATTTAATATTTCAAATTAATTAGCAATTTACAAAGGTCAAAGAGAATTTTACCAGACCCGAAATAAGAATAAAACCGCATGAAGGCTACCTTGGAATTAGCATTTTGCTACGTGCACTCCACAAGTACCTAACGTCTGCATTTTACCGCTCGGATCCCGGATGGTTTTGATGATTATACAGATGGCAACTGTATTTAAACAATTATTTCTGAACTTACAAAATCTTATTTTGAGTGTTACTTTGTCTAGAGATTCGCTGAGCCTTTTATCATAACAAAATAAATGATCTACAATTGCATTGAATCGCCAGAAGCTGATTCTCTATTTGAAATCTGTAATTTAACACTCGGATTGCGGATGGCACTGATGAATGCAATGATGTATAAACATGTAACGACGTTTAGCTGTACTTAAGCACAATTGTTTCTGAACTTAATTAAATTAATGTTGAATGTTACTTATATGCATGTAGATACCTCGAACAAACTCAGTTAAATACTTAAGACTACATTTTGATTCAAAACTGACACGGAAACAACGTATTACTACAAAAATCGCACAAATTCAAGCAACAAATGGAAGCAAATGTCTCGGTTAATAGGTAAAAAATCGAAACTCAGCATAAACAACAAACTGCTAATTTATAAATCAATAATTAAACTTATATGGACATGCGGTACTCCAGTATGCGACATAACGACGATGAGTCACATGACAAAAATTGAATCTCACCAGTCAATAGCTCTACAATATTAAATGCTCCATGGTATGACAAGAATGAAGATATAAGAAAGGACCATGACATTTCTTTTAAATTAAAGTTCGAAATCTCTACTTTGTAGACACTGTTTCTCAATTTTATGTTAGACGCATCCTCATCACTGCAACCCTTTAAATGTGGAGTCATATCGAACATTGCCAAGTTCGACAAAATACACGGACTTTGTCAAATTTTTTTCGGAGATATCATTCACAATCGAACGAAGTTCGATCCTTTCCCTTCAATTTAAGGAAACTGAAACGTGACTGTGATTTTTTTCCGCGAAGTTACAGCACTTTAGAGTAACGCCTGTATTTTGACCACGTTATAAGATATTGATAAATATCGTTGGGCAATTTCCATAAGTACTGAGTGTCGCCAATGTCTAGAAAACGTTTGCAAATATTCCATTCAATTTATTCGAGCTTCTTTTAGACGGACCACTCGTTTCCAGGGGACCGATACGTGAGATTGACAAGAATTACTTTAAAGTATTGTAACTTTGCGAAAAAAAATCGCAGCCGCATTTCTTTCATTTTTAATATCATTACTTATAATTTAATATCGTTACTCTCACTCCGCTCGGACCGGCATCCTTGAAAAGAATCGACAAAGTTCATGCATTTCGTGAAACTCGGCAATTTTCAATGTGACAAACATTGTTTCACGTTCGAAGGGTTGCAGCAGTGAGGGTACGTCTAACTTAAAATCGAGAAAAATTATCTTATAGTAGAATCAGCTAATGTTTATCCAAAATTTGTCTATGCTATAATTTTTTTGAGCAGTCTATAAACGCCCCAAAGTCACCGAAAACCGCTGCTCCTCTAAATCGCGAGAACACCGCAAGTTGCGGGTGGCGCGACGGCGTCCCCAGTTTATAAATACCAAATATCGGCCTTACCGTAAGGATGAGATGAGTCAGAATATGGAATACCACGTAGGCGACCAGAATCCAGTCGACCCATTCCGGGAGTTTGGCCTTGTTCAGTCGGACCGCGAAGAAAATTGCGATTACTGCGAAAGGAATTTCAACGTAGCGGTTAACCCATTGTCCCGTGGAACGGTGAATAGAATGAACCGAAAAAAGGGGGAGAGAGAAAGGAAGGAAAAACGAGAAAGAAAGGAAGGTAGGAAGAGAGAAAGAGGGAAAAATGGAAAAGATAAAAGGGAGTAGAAATGATACGAAACGAGTCCCGGTATCGGGACGCAACTTACTGCCGCAAATCTGCGCCGCATTCCCAACGAACCAGTGCGCCCAATTGAAAAGCGGTCTCCTCGGTGCTCCAGGATGGGGTCTCATAGCCGCCATAAACGGCTGAACGAAGGCCAGAATCGTCGTAGCCAGGCCCAGGGACGCGTGGATGATCTCCGAGCTCCATTCACCCAGCTCGACGAAGATGATCACGAAAGCCGCGATCGTCATGGACCACGTCAGAATCATGAAGAACCGATGCCACTTGAAACAGAAACGATCCTTCAGCTGCTCCGTCCTCCCGTGCTAACAGGTGAGAACAGGTGGCTGACTGCGTCTCAGCACCTCTCCCGTTATTTCGACGAGTCCAAATATAGCAATCGCTGCACCGAAATAAAACTCGTCTCCCTTTAGCGGCATGAAATTAGAGGGTTGTTTTTAGACAGAGATTGGGGATGTTGAACCGGTTGTCACTCTGCGGGAAAATATCGGAGATGTGTCTGGCGTCGTTCTAAAGCGCGAAGCATCTATTTTTGATACCCTGAACTGTTTCCCGACGGGATGAATTTTTAGCAAGAAGATGTGCTTTTTTTTCATTTTTACTCTCTTTTAGTCTCTGCGCGAGACATCGAACAAATTTGTCTATAATTATAATAACTATAACTAACCACCAAGATTGAAATTTTCCTATTGACATGGGGATATCGTACGATTTTTTCTTGCCGTTTCATTACGCTTTAGAGGAAGTGGGTGCATGATAGAATTGAGGTAACAGCTACCTTCCATGAAGACTGATCTGAAAAACGCAGAATTTCTGCGTGATCTTAGACGTCTCTGAAGAATCGAAATAATTTTTTTCTATGGCTCCAACCACCTTTAATGTAAGGATCGAAGTTTACCCTTTTCGAAGAAAGAAAATCTCGAAGAAAGAAAGAAAATCTTACGGAAATTTTGATGTACGATTTCTTGCTACGATTTTATCGAGTTTCGAGCGAAAGGGTGTACAGGGAGAGCACGGGAGAAGGTTTGTAAAATGGAACTAGAGATAAAGCACGTAGTTCCGATTGTCCCAAAAATTGATGCCGTCGTTATCAGATTGCGAGATTCAAGGATGTATGATAATTAGCAAATTTCAATTCAGCAGAAACTAAACGAACTGCGAATTCGAGGCAGAAGGCGAGAACTGACGAGGATCGAGCTGGAAAAGGCGGAATCGCGCAGCTCCCTTGGATAACGCTATAAAGGAGGGAACATTAACAGAAATTGCCGGCACCGAAACCATCAGCTCCTCGTGGGTAGACAGTAAAAGATCGTAAAGGTGCTTCGAACGCGATTACAGCATAAGTGTCCCCCGAGTATCAAAGATAAGCTTGATGTTATCCTTGGACATCAGCCAAGCTTAAGTGTTCCTCAGGCACGCTTGTGCCCTCGAGTTGTTCGCGGTGTCGAGTCAAGCGTCGCGCTGCACCACGGCAAAGTAAAACACAAACAGCAGCTTCCAATCGCGAGAATCTTTAATTACCGAACAAATGATAATCCTCAGGACGCGGCGAGAGAGAAAACCGAAATTAAAATGAAAGAACGATAATTATTAATGGGGCGCATTTCGTCGGATAAGCAGCGGTTCGCTATTGTACCGAAATTACCCAATTAAAATCTGATTGTACGAGAGCGATGATTATTCGTTCGGATGCGTTTAAATTGGCAACGGCCGTCCATTCCCGGACGGAGGAAACGATCAGACATTATCGATGGAGATGGTATTTTGTGCCTCGAGTACTTTGCAAGTGGGTTCGGACATTTACCGACTGCAATTGACCATTCGCGATGAAATATCAGCTCCGACCTGATAAACATTAATTAATGCCACGCTGGTGGAAGTATCGCGCTCAATGTTCCAAATATATCTACACATTAATAATGCTTTCCACTAATTTAATATTACACTTCTATTTTTTAATTTCATAGTTTTCTGTCACACGAATTATAGTTCATTCAACAAGCTTACAAATATATCTACACATTAATAATACTTTCAAGTTTTACTAGTTCAATGTCGCACTTCTATTTCTTAATTTCATTTTTTTTTGTCACACGTGTTAATTCATTCAACACCATTTCCATATTCCCCCAAAACGTGCACCGAATACTCAATTTTGACTATTATCGTCTCGTGCTACATTTATACTATCAACTCTAAAATTGTTATGTCTCGAATCTAAGTACATTAACGTTTTTCTATAACATTCGACAAATTTTCTATTATGAAATCTATGAAATACCTTCAGCTTTCTCACATTTATATGTTTACATCGAGGCTTTCAGTTTGAAACAAATTACGTGTACACCATTGTACTATTCATGCACCTGTTGTGGTATGAATGGTACTATTCATGTATCATTCAACCATTCATGCACCTACATGATATGAAGAATATTTCTATTAATCATGAATGAACAACTACAATGATGAATCTATGGAAAACTGTATAAAAATACATACAAAGAAACCATTAATATAAAAATGCACGTGTTTGATTTTATGTAATGTGCGGAATAAGAAAATTCAGGCAGCATCGCTGTCAATGCGAAATATTCAAAAATGTTCCAGCACATAATCATGTCTCATGCATTATTATTAGACTGCGGATTTTAATCAACTAAGAATGTTGACCTATGAATTCAAGTTTATTAAAAATATGAAAAGATGAAAAGGAATTATGCTTGACTTCTAGGTCTTGCAATCGATGCAGCGATGGTATTGTTTTATATAGCTTAACTATGTGCTCTGTAATAATTTCTCTCGCAGCTAACAGTGGCTCAAAAACTGTAACTTAAAATATACAATAAAAAACACAATAAATAATACTTAAACCTACCATTAATAATTGCTCTAGAACTCTGGCTTATGTTCACTTAATTGTTTACTATGTTTACTTTTTTGTTTACTTAATTACTGTCTTAATAACGCCAGTCTATAATTTACAAATTCTCTTCGATAATTTCAACTCTTCTTTCCTTGAAATTATATTTATGGGGAATTCATTGAATAAACTTGACACACCGGACATATATTATAATTAAAATCGTTAAAACTCTGAATAAATACATGCTCGTTATTTTAATGAAGCAATATAAAGTGACTGCTGTTAGTGCTCCGCGGACCTAGTTAAACGTTCCGAACTTTTCTGCGACATTTGCTCGACTCACAGAAGCACGCTGTAATTCTTCGCTACCGAAAAATCTCCTCGTACAATTTCCCCAACCACTGCATCAGCAACATTGCTCCAATGCTTCGTGGTAGCAAAACGTAAAAAGCCTACAGGTGCCTATTCAGGGTTCAGAGTCTTATGCAGCAGGTGCCATTCAGCAATTACCGCCTCAAAATAGCATTTCAGACCCGTGAAACGAAACCGGAGCACCAAAGCCGACTCGGTTTAGTACATATTGAACTTGATCCCGTCAGTAATTATCAGGCCGAGCTTCTGTACGCCGTTGCTGCGATTAAACCCTTGATCCGGAGGAATCACGGACCCACTGGCAGCAGCGATCGACCCGATATCGTCGAATAGACGGCATCGGAGCCGTGCATCGCGTCTATGGTTTCGAATCCGGTCCGATCCGTTCGCACGAAAAATTGGCTACTTACGGCGAACCAATGGTCCTTTCCGCACAACTGCGAGCTGACCCAGGTCTGCCGGTAGTATCTGGCCAGCAGGATGCCGATCGAAGCCGTGCCGATCCAGGAGGCAAGCATCAGCGCGCCATGCACACGAATCAGCACGTTGCTGGCAGTTGTGTAGCCGCCCACGTCCGATAACAATTTCGCGCCGCCGGTCGCGTCGTACGCCGTGTCATGGAAACCGACACCGTTACCTAGACAGTGTCACGTGTGTCAGCCATTTTTTCCACGATTTCTCCATCACAGTTTGCACTCGAAACGTTCCAGCTTGGTCTCGTTATGCTCATTCTTACCCCCTTGGGATTCTGGATGTCTCGAGGCTGAATTATGGCTTTGGTTTCAATCGAACGATTATAATAATTTTTTAAGATCATTGTTTTCACTGCAATGGAATATTTTATGCACTTGTGGACCATAAGGACTATAAGGAACAGTAACGTAAAAAAGGTTAATGAGAAAAATCAAACTCTTCGATTAAAAGATTCATTAGAGAAAAACTAATGTGAAATTGTAATTGCCCACTGCCATTGAGCCAGAAATGTATAAAGATCGGTACATTAGTGATTATTTTATCAGTCTGAATCAGTGAGAGTCGGTCTAAATCAGTTTGAACCAGTTCAAGTTCGAAACAGTCTACATCGGTTTGAACCGGTTTGAGTCAGTTTGAATTAGTCTAAATCAATCCGAATCAATCTCAATCGGTTTGAGCCAGTCTAAATCAGTTTGAACCAATCCAAAGTCAATTTAAATTGGTCTAAATAAGTTTGAATCAATTTAAGTCAGTTTGAAACAGCCCAAATCAGTATAAATCAGTCTAAATCCGTTTAAATCTGTCTGAATCAGTTCGAACCAATCTAAATCGGTTCCAATCAGTCTAAAGCAGTTTAAGTCGAATTGAAATAGCCTAAATCAGTTTAAATTGGTCTAAATCAGTTTAAATCGCGCCAAATCAGTCTAAATCCGTTCAAGTCCGTTTAAATCCGTCTACATAAGCCTAAATCAGTCTAAATCCGTCTAAATTTGCGTAAATCTGTCTAAATCTGTCTAAATCCGTCTAAGCCCATCTAAATCGACCTAAATCACTCCAAATCCTGTCTAAAACAATCCGAATTAATCTAAATCCACAAATGCTCAACTAAATAATTGAAAAATACATCTCATAAAAATAGAACCTGCCGCCTCAAATGTCCCAAGAGCTGAAAAGGACTAGAAACCACAGCTGGAAAGATTAATGAATATCAGAGAAAACCAATTACGCACTTTTTAGACTTTTGCCTGCGGCGACCAGAAGGTTGTACGGTGTATTGACGAGGTCGTATTCCCGGCCTTGGACGACCGTCGTTTTCTCTCTCCAAAATTTACAAGTGATCACATCGTCCTTGATGGAGCTCGACTCCAGTTGAACGGCTCCTTCCTGCTGCAAGCGAAATCGGAAAATAGAGCAAGGTCGGCGCCGGTGTTTCTTACAAAACCGCGGCACCACGCAATCGTGCCCATGAAGGATTGATCGGTAACAATGTTACGCGTGAGCGAAAGTCGCGGAGCCGTCACCGCAGAAATCATTCAATCGGGATCGTATTAAGTTCACCGGGCTCGCATGCTCGCGTCATGTTGCTCTCAATATCAAAGCAGAAGCCTTCCCTTCCCTTTCTATACGTGCCGCAAAAAAAAAAGAACGATGCTCTTATTACCACTCTTTAAACCGCGGCGATCGAACCTTAATCTCACCACCACCCTTTTCGCGATTTATCCTTGTCATAATCTTTGAAATTTTCACCCACTACGATTTTTGGTATTTTGTCTAAAATTTTTATTCGACACAACATTTGGTCCTTTCGTTGATTACAGTTTCCGAAATTGATATTCGCTACATTTTTGGTGCTTCTATAGACTACAATTTTTCATATTTTCAATAACCACTATTTTTGCTACTTTTTATGGCTTCCCGATTTTTTCGTATTTCCATTGACTTCAATTGTTGGTATTTCCGCAATATCTCCGATGAAAACTGTACAACGTAAATCAACGTTCTCTGTGCAGTTTCGTTCATAGAAATTGGAGAATTGATATCAGGTAGCCAGCCAAATTGTATCAGTTTCTGTGAGTCACAATTTAAAAGAAACAATATAGTAGAATATAATTTAACTCTTAGAATATCAATGTCATCTAATTAACTTTATTACCATTACTTGTCTAACAAATAAATTTGCAAGCAAATAATTTAATGTTTAAATGAGACAAGATCGGAAATATCTGCAATGCTTTGAATTTTTCACGTGTCGAGAAACAAATTAGTTAGGCAAATACAGTTCAAGGTTTGCAAATTCATTGTCACGACGTTAAGACAATACAAAAGCTCCGACATGATCAGCAAACTTAATGCCAGCAGCGGCAACGTTGACACGTATCAAATTATCGTTTATTCGCCACGAGCCTGACGATTGCAGGTAGAATTCTACATTGTAATTCTATGTACACACAGTTCAGAAGTGCACACAAAATTAAGACTACAGTGGTGGAAAGAGGATTCTCCAGACATAACAGCATTTGGAACGAAATTGCGTTTAAGGAGGCATTCTCCTGTGAACGTTCGAAAGTTTGACAATTTTCATGAATTTTTTCTTAACGCGATGATACGTCTAGCATTACATTTTTATATGTAATTTATTTCTTTACTTTTTCGTCACATGTAAAAATTGTTTACAGAGATTTAATTAATTGCTTTTTATCTTTGGTCTCACTCTCAATAAATACGAGTTTAACATTATTTTTACCGATGTTTTGCATTATACAATTTACTAAATGAATTTTGTGATGACTATAGCAAAAGTTGAGAAGTGCTTACATACAAAACATAGAACATAGGAAATAATTTTGATTAAAAATTATTGAAAGGTGTTCTTTAACCTCTTCAGTAAAAATAGTGTTAAATAGAAATTATTAAAAGGTGTCTTTTGAGACACCTCCGATATAAATAGTGTTAAAAATCGGAAAAACACAGTTCGATAAAGATAGTGTAAAATAAAAAGAAACGATCAAGAAGATTCATATTCGGAACTTTTATCATTATCGTCTGTACCAAAATAAATAATTGACCTGGAAAATTGAAGAACAAAATGCTTAAATTGCGAATACAGAAATTTCATGATTTTCTAGGTAATTTTTCAATAACAAAAAACATAAAAATATAATTTTAGTACCAGTAGCGTGTGAACTAGCTTGTAAAAATATCTCAACAATCAGTTGCGTAGTTCCGAGAAAAACGTGTCTAAAATTTTATATCGAATAAATAATTGGTAGACGAGCGAAGCATCGTTCTCTTATATATATATTCATCATTATTTAGTTATTTTAATGAATTCGAGCATGCTGGGAAAACATTTTCAAGATTACTCTGAGAAATACAGTAAGAGAAACCAATTTCTTTTACCCGCCGGAAGAGAATCCGCCCATTAATATTCATTGGCCAACCGTGCTATTGAATAAAATCCCGCTAATGTATATTTCGTCGTTTCTGTTGCCATTTCTGGTCGCCGTGCACACCGTCGATATTGTTAGAAATTTATACCCCATTTGAAAAGCAACGAGCAGCGAAGAGCCGCCGCGTTAATGTCCCTATGAAAAATCGAATAAAATTCTCTGCGATCCAGAAACATCCCATACCACTTACCGAACTGTGCAGTGCTATAATTTTTTCATATTTTTCATATTTCTCATATTTTTCATATTTTTCATATTTTTTATATTTTTCTTAAACCAAACTAATTTTCGTCGATAATTTGTATCAGATAACTGCATACAGAGTGTCTCAGCTAAAGACTGCCACCTAAATATGTCTATTATTTTTGGAGATATTGAACAACTTTATTAACAAAAGTTCTTGAGATCAAGATAATCTATAATATGACAGGAATCATTTTTTTGCAGCTGGAGAATATTCAGAGATTTCGAGGTCACCTTCACTTTTTGAATTAGCATCATATATCTTTTATACATCATTGATGCAGCTCAACATTTTCTATAAAAAAAAGTATTGACCTATGTACGTCGAAAAATTATTGATACCGACCCAATCAAATTTTAATCGTCGCCAAATTACTTAATTTACGAAAATTAGATTAAATAAATTGCTGTTGCAGCAGGAACTACGGAAAGAATAATCGACAAGAAAAATCTTCAAAAATATGTTTTGAAAAATTAATGAATAACGATAGGATTTGTTAGAATTATTGATTAAAAAACTATAATAATCTCATCCGTAATCCATAAAGTTATTTAGATTACTACAATGCAAGAAGTTGTTTTGAAATTATTATTTATAAAAGAAAATTATCAAGCTTCTCTTATCGTTAGATACAATTCAGTCATTGAAAAGACTATTTTAATAATAGACTTCCGGTGAATAAAGTATTAAAATGACAATTTTGAACCCTCGACGATGTTCGAGGGTTAAAGAAGATATTTTGGCGGTCACGCTTAAGAGAGACACCTGTATTAATCATTGAACAGTAGTGAAATCAAAAAATATATTTTGCAATCATCGAAAAGATGGACAAACAGATACTGCAAATTTTGTTATTTTCAGAGAAAAATCCGTCATTCGAATCAGACATATCGAAATCTCTCGACGTGAGAATATCGTGAACCGCATTTCACGAAATTCAGGGTAACTTTAAAGCGCTCGAATTGCCGATCGAGTTTCTATCGACGGCCGTCGAAACCTAGAACGGTGCGCGCTGTTTTGACGGATCGTTATACGCTATCGCGTAACGTAACCAACTAACAATGTTGCGAACGCTGCAAGTATTCTGTGGTACGAACCATGGGCTGCCGCATGTTCTGCTTGCCAGAGTTCCAAGACATGTGTAATGCAATTTCTCCGCCTTCGTTCGCGCACTCAACCACGCTGTCGTCGCCCTGCGTCAGACAGAATGGATTTAATAATCGGTGGCTTTCCTGTTATGGAAATCACGGGCGTTACTCCGTCGCGAAACGCTCTAATCCCATAAGTTCAATTAGTGTGATCGTTGCGAACGCTCGCGAGGCGACCACGTTGAGCAAGTGTCTCGGTAGCGAACGGTGATCCGATTGTAATTACCACGTCCGAACCTGCAGGACAGTGAACTTTAATATTTTCGTCGAGTTCGCGAAAAAGTTGACATCTTTCATTTTTATCACAGTTTTCAAGCAATCGTGATATCGGAAATGTTTCTTGAGGATATTGATTTCAGAGTTGGGCAAAATTTTAGTCGAATGACGAGCAAAAGATACAGATTAACAAATCAAATTTTATTCGACACTATCGAATAAAAATTTATTCAAATTGATTTGTTTTTTTTCAGAGTTTATCGATTTATTTATTCCATATCAATTTTAGAATAAAGAATACAGAATTTTTCAAATTATTCGAATAAAGAATTTTTCGTATTATTCGAGTACAGAATTTTTCGAATTTTTCGAATCATGTATTCGAGTAACGAATTATTCGAATAAATGGATAGAATATTTTTTCACGAATAATGAATGATTCGAGTAAAATATTCGACTAAAAGGAATTCATTCGAATAATTAATAAATATTTATACAAAACAATCCGAATAATGCCGAACTCTGATTGATTTTCATTTATTCTCTTTACATCGTAAAATTGCATGATAAAATAAATTGTAAGTAAACAATGTGAAAATGTTTTGATGGATTCAATATCTTGGTATGTAGTGTACACGATGCATCGAGAATTTTTTTATTTATATTTTTATTCACAGTTGATTACGTCAAATTATCATTTACTGTGCCAACGTAATTACTTCCAACTCGATGGACCAATAACTGATGCGAACTCGGGTAAATTTTACTTTTTACGAAATAATCACATTTGAATTTTCAATCTGGGTTAGAGATCACACTAATTGTAAGTCGGAATGAAAAAGAATGATAATTTCTATCGGATCTAATGAATTCGGACTTAAATAGTTCCGAGGTTGTTTACAGAGTGACGACGACTAATGAATGCTCGAGTTTTGAATTTCTTCAAGGCGACGAATTATGGGTTATCGAAAGGACAAAATTACCATTTTACTGTCGTCGGACAAGCCAACAGCGACATATTTACTGTCACGTGCTTGGAGTTCGAAAAGATATCTCTCGCCGCGAACCAGCACCGTAACCATCGCCAAGCAATTCTTGGTGGCCACGCATCCTGCCGGAGTGCCAAAACAGTTCTTCGTGTTGCCGCATCCGGTGTACATGGAGTCCTCCACTTCCTTTGTCTGAAATGCAAACGAACATCCCGATTACATCTCCGGCAGAACATTTTCCGCCGATCATTCCTTATCTCTACAATCTTGACAATTTTTCATTTCGTAGATGGACGGTACCGAAGCCAATCATCATAAGTGCAGTTTTCTGTAAAAATGAGTTACGCCAGTGCAAACACACACTTATCATAGGATCATTCGGTCGATAAATCAATAATAGCCGACTTCTTCAGAAATGGGTACAAAAAGAATTATCTTTTCTAAACATGCATCGACATTTTTCTTTTGTTACTCTTCTGGCTACGTTCATGTCTATGTCATCTTGTAATTAAAATTGTACTTTGCATTATTAGTGAAATTGTTAATTTTCACAGTTAACTTGCAAAGTCTTTATTTATCTGAATTTTAATACAAATCTGATAAAATTATTTAGGGGGAATTGCGTTTTTCTAAAAATACGTTGACATTTTTCTTTTGCTTTTCCTCTGGTTACGGTCACTTGTATGTCATCCTATAATAAAAATTTTGCTTTGCAGTATTGGTGGAATTGTTATTTTTTGTAGCTAGTTTGCAAAATTATTTTTCTCAAGTTCAAGGTTAATGGTCTCACTGATTGGCCTCTACGCCGTCGATATAATAAATGATCGACGTTCTTTTGATGTGATATCGTTCATCCGCAACAGCGTAGATGAAGATCGCTGAAATTGAGGACAGTAAAGTGACCAAACCAATTGTGTGTAGAATGAAGTTTACTGTGTCGACTCGACTAGAACACATGGTTGGTCACAAATTAATTCGGTTAATGATTAACGATTCTATTGAACGTGAAATCGTGTTCGTAATTAATGATTACAATTGCTAAGTAGTTGAAGTAATTGCGATTGACCCTACAATTGCGGGAACCGGGTCTATTTCGACCCAGAGTATTTAAATCGCCTGTTAAATTCTTGGCGAAATCGTTAACGATCATTCCCAACATTATCGATAAAGAAACAACGATGTCATCTGTCATTCGTTATTAGTACTTACTACGATTCAATTCCAGTTAATTGTAATACTCATTTCAATAATACAGGAAGCACACGTTCATTCTTACCTAATAAAATACCTAATTGATTACGTATAGCTGCCCTGCAAATTAATTTCAATCCTATATTAGAGCATATTCAACGTTGCATCACTAAACTAAATAAATAGCTGCTACACAAAAGAAACACTAGAAATAATAATGAATCTACATTAAATACCATCGAACATAGAATTAAAAAAATTAATCATTGTAGCTGAGAATGATCCTAAGCGCCACCAGTCGTTAATAAATGACTGAAATAAGCAAAAAAGAAATGTAATCATTGCTCGCGTGTGCAGTAAATAAAGTACAGTAAATTCTCCCTAATTGACGATCAGATTGTGCACAAAAATGAACAATTTGGGAAGAGGAGATACGATTATTCGAGCGTTGCAGTTCGTTTTCATAGTTGTTGACAATCGGTAACTATAAAAACGAGTCCCAACGCTCGAGTAATCGTATCTCCTCTTTCCAAATTGTCCATTTTTGTGCACAATCTGGGCATCGATTAGGGAGAATTTATTGTAATCATTAATCATTTCATGACGAATTGTTTTGATTACGAGTAATTAAAAGATTTGGTGTTACGGTAGACATCATTAATCATTCTTTCGATAACGAGTAATCAAAAGACTCGGTATTATGGTACACATCGTTAATCATTACTAATTCATTTTATTACGAGTAATTAAATGCTTCGATATCATATAGTACACGTTAATAATTCTTTCGATGTGATATTGATTAATTAAAAGCCTTGGTATTACGGTACATATATTAATTCAATCTCTGATTCACAATTACGGATTACTAATCAATGACTACGGATTACAAATAGAATCACATTTACTGATTTATATACGATAATATTTATATTGATTTATATGGTTTCGATTAAACTCTAGAGCACTAAAAGCAGCTATTTTATATTAATTTATAAAAGTAACAATTAAACGTTTATTCTGATTTTCAACGAGCGTTATTGTAATATTTACCGTGAGTAACATATTGAATAAATAACACATAAATGTATCTTCACAATCGGAATAATCGTAAATAAAAAGAATTAGTGACCCGTCATTTTGACGGACTCCGTAAACCTAGTGTTAACGATTACGATCACCACAGTTACTTTCGGTAATCAATTACAAAACTGATCGAAAAATTGCCGGTCTCTTCCACTGGAACTGTCTCGAATAAAATAGCTGTTCCAGACACTGACAGATGAGACGAACAAAATTATCGAGATGTGTGAATGACTCTGTATCGTCTCGCGATGACGCGGCAACGACGACACTGCCCTGGGTGAACGTTTCACCTGTACTTACGGTTGGATACCGTTCGCGCCGGTGCCGGATCGACGTGCACGATGAATGAAAAGATACGGGTCGACGCCTTTTTTTGCGTATCGTCCTCATTAACCGGTCCACTTTCGAAACAAGATCAGCGTGAGAAAAGGCGCCGCGCGAATCTGCCCCCTCTTTCTCACTTGGAAACTTTATTGAGGAGTTTCCAGAGTAGGTCTGAACTACTCCATTAAACCGCTCGACGCTGCTTATACAGACGTGTACACACCCTCGCACACCTATACACGTGAGCACACCTGTATGGTACACACACATGCACACACGTGTACACACGTTGAATGGTACACATGCACACGGTCGGACGGTTACACGTGAACGTGTACAGATCGCGGAATCGGATTTCTTCGGGCCGGAAATATCTTGATATTTTGGATGAAAATAAATCTTTCGGAAGACTCGTGAAACTTTCCAGCGGCTGATTTATGTCCGACAATAAATGTAACACGGTGAATGATGATGTATCCCGCTGCCAACTCTTTCCATTAAGACGGATCGACTGCCAAATTGATTCCCGGGAATTTATTCGCAGGCCCCCGGCTGCTTTTTCTTCCGCGGAGTTGTTCTTGCTGCGGAAAACTCGCTATCGCATCGCTTCAACTGTGTTTGCGGACTTCTAGAAAGGCTTTGCCGGAAGGCTTTTTAATACTGCAACTATGTACAGAGCCGCAAACGCAACCAACGTCTACTGTTTTATAATATAACAATAAAAACATTGGTTGTATTTAAACTTCACACGGGTTCCGTTATGATACGTATTTAAATATTAAATTCCATAGAAAGATTTCTCACAGAAACATTTTAAAGATATCAGGAACTGTGTAAAAGAACAAATCAGAAACCAGCCATTTTGACTGGTTTGGTAGTTCTTTAATGACTGGGCTGTGTCTAAAAGTGTATTACATTAATCCATGTTATTGTATTAATCCATATTATTATATTAATTCACACTGTTATATTATTTCATATTATTATATTAATCCGCATAGCTTGTTGGATTTTGGATATAAATATTGTCACTACAATATTTTAATAAATGCTCATTACGCTACGCGTAAAAAAACAGCGGGATTATAATTGTTCACATTTTCCGCGATTTTTAATCACGCTTTCATGGCAACATATTTTTTATAATTATGAAAAGTTCGAAACAGGGGTCGTTAGTTGCAGTAATTATTTTCTGCCATGTTCTTAACAAATGATTCATGTGTATAATTGACGAGGTTGGAATTGAAAAGTTCATCGAATGCAATCTTTATAGCCTTCATACAATGTTTTCAAGAAGCCTGAAATTTTGTCGAACATTATTTTGTGATAATTCACATTTATTTTGCTCGAAACTTTCTTCATAGTGAAGCTATACTAGCGATTTCAATCATGCACGCTTACGTAAACCTTTTCTGGTACTCTAAAAAATTATGAATGAAATAGAAATTTATAAAAGAAATTATAAATTCCACATGAATAAAAATCTACGGCGATTTACGGAATTAAAATTACAATTAATCTAACTTTATTAAAATATTTTTAGATGACTGAATTCACTGTACATTCCACCTATTGCTCACCAACCATAACTTTCTATTCAAACTATCGATACCAACTTTCCCTAACAGAATTCAACTTATCAGTACAATCTAATATGATTCCCGCCTCGGATTCTAAAAGAGCCTAACAAACAGAAGCATTAGAAATTATGAAAACACTGCTTGCAATGAAATAAATAGGATAGATAAATAGAATATAGATCAACAATAAGCCTACGTTTCGCTTAATAAAAATAATTTCAATTTAGTTCCATTTCCATTTCAATATGTGCTCGCATAATCAATCGCTTGCCCATGGAAGCATCATTGCATGAATCGTTAGATAAAACCCATGAAACCGATGACTTGATCTATAATATGATGGAAAGTTCAACCCTTGTTGACCTATTACTATTATTCCCTTAGTAGTTTTTAATAATACTTAACAAAATATCACGAAACTGTGCCAAATCCCAGTTCTTTGTACATCTGTATATCAATTAACGTTTCGTCAAAAAAAAAAATATGGTTAACCCTTTCAGTGCTGACTAACAAATATAGTAGACAAATATCTAGTTTTCACATTATTTTTATAGCTTTATAATGAATTTAAAAAAGTGTGTTTTAGTCACTGTGCAGTAAACTGATCCGTTTAACATTTAACAAAAATGCAAATTATTTAGTGCAATTAAAAAACTTATTGCTTTTTTGAAAGATGTTCGAGTACTTTTTGCCAGAGGTTGCATGTGCATGTCGTTCAAACCACATTATTATTTGTATAGTCCTCACGCGGCAAGAAAGCACCTTCCTGTTTACATTACCCCTCTTACTAGCTGCGGCAGTAGGGCAGCTAGTAAGAGGGGGGGGGGGGGGGGGGGGGGGGGGGGGGGGGGGGGGGGGGGGGGGGGGGGGGGGGGGGGGGGGTGCCATTCGTTTCATAATTGAGGTTTCCTTATTTTTTAGCGAAATGTTAAGTGGTGTCACCTAGCTGTCAATAGCTGCATTAGCTTTTGATTAGAAGTCACAGTAGCGCGATTTTGTTCTCGGTATTAT